AAGTTCAAACAATCACCTGTGAATATTATAAACATTTTTATTTGGCTACAAGGGTCAAGCATTAAGAACATTATTGTTAATGGGAGGATGCCATCTGGCCCAGGTAGTTCATTGTTATTTAGTAGGTATTTGATCCAATGTTTTCAACCAGCTATTCTGTAAAAGATGTCAGGGTAACAGCTTCTAGAACATGGCTGGGTAGCGTGTCCCACACTCCCATAACCTTTTGTGTAAAGAAATGCCTCTTGTCCTTCTTGGAGACCCTCATCCAGCAGTTTCTTAAATGAAAAAAGGGCAGCATCTGCAACAGCATGACAGGTAACTTACTCCCATAACCCTTGATGTGAAGAAGTGCTTCTCGTTCTGATTAGAGGATCTCATCCAGCCAGTTTCTTGAAAGAATCCAGGGTGTCATCTTAAATGAAAATGGCTGGTTAGCTTGTTTGGCACTCTCACAACAGTTTAGGTGAAGCAGTCTCTCCTGTTTTCAGTATTTTAAATACTTGCCCCATAGTTTCTTTTGATTATTTATTGCAGGTGATATATACTGATGGAAAAAAGAAACGCAACATTTTTTGGATCAAGAATACTATAGTTACAGTATACTGTAGCCTATGTACTTTCACAAAAAGTTGTCAATTTGTTTTAAGCCCTCTGACCAGCAGTACAGCTTGTGCAGTGAGGCATTGCAACTTGCCAATCACAAGAAAGCTCGTTAGGTGCACTTTTACCCAACAACATCCAGGTGGAACAATGCCTGATTAGGTCACCTTTAAAAAGGCCTTAATTCAAAGCTTTGTCAGTTTTCTGTGCATTCCATAATGCCTCAAATGTCACCAGAAGCAAGAGAGAGGGCCATTGGCATGCTGCAGGCAGGCATGTCATGTGCCAGCATTGCCAGACACTATGGAGTAAGCCGCTCTACTGTGTCCTGACTGCAGAGAAGGTTTCAGCAGACCGCCAGGACAGATGACTGTCTCCCTCGAGTGACCACACCAGACCCGGACCAACACATCAGACAGGTCCATCTGAGAGATCGTTTCAGATCTGCCACCCGTACTGCTGCTGAAACTGCCAGCAGACACAATGCCCACATCCCTGACAGGACAGTGAGGCTCCATGCTGCTGGCCTTAGAGCAAGGCGACCTGTCAGAGGCCCTCTAGTCACACCCAACTGGCTTGGGCCAGACAGAGGCCGCGATGGACTCGTCAGCAGTGGCATCAGGTCCTCTTCACAGGTGAGTCACTCTTCAGCCTGTTCCATGCAGATCGGAAGGTGAGAGTGTGAAGGAGGCGGTGTTGCATTTCTTTTTTTCCCATCAGTATACATTCCCTCCTATGTATTGTGCCGAGTTACTTTCTTAACATCAAACACATGAAGGCATTTCTGATACACTGATCACATAAAAACATGAAGAAACACCCATGGCCTGGCAAAGAAGATATTAATACAGTTTTGTTCAAAATCAGTGATTTCACAATTTGTTTCATATTTATGAAATTCCCATACTTGTGAAATAGCTGAAAGAGTTTTTTTTTATGTCCTTCTTTTTAGGGGAGTGAAGAATGGAGAGGGGAAATGTATTGGGGAAAATTGGTCTGGCCAGTTAGTGTTGCCTTTGTTTTTTTTATTCCTGAATAATATTTTGTGAGTAGACTAGATTTATTTGCATTTATTTGGAAACACAAACATTGGAAATAATGTAGTGGTTTTTCTGAATATGCACATATAAAAATGTAGCCTCATTCCCCATTCACATCTATATTCATGGTCATTTCTAAAACAACATTTAAAAAAAAGTGTTTTTCTTACTTAAGAAGTCAGGCAACATTTCCTTTAACTCTAGAAGGGTACTCATGCTTAACTTTTTCAGAGGCTGTTTCATTTTTAGCACTTGCTTAAACAAATCCAATATTGACTGTACCCATTGTGAGAAACTGTGTGCTCTGACAAAGGAAGAGGAGTGTTATTGATTACTAGGCAGAGAATAGGTACATGGACACAGGGAAGGAGCCCTGAACTGAGACAGGTTAAACTAATCAACATACTGTAAGTGGAAGCACATAATTACACTCCATCTTCTGTGAGACTGTCTGCTGTGGATGTTTAGGCCTCTAGTAGATGGGTCAGTTTGTCCAGGCTCAATTACATTGTAATGAGCTCTTTTCAACATGTTCAGATGATGCTTTAATTTCTGGAATGTAACACTGAATTGAACTTGCAATTGAAGTATGCAAGTCTGTAGAAATGATAACAGATGGAAGTAATTTTGGTGACCGTGTAAGGACTCTCTTGTGTTTTTTTTAAATGTGGTTCCAATCTTTATGCTACGTTGGTCATAAAAGACACCCTTTAAATGATACTCAGTCCTATACCTGATGAGAATTATAAATGCAGTAACTGCTCACAATGTAAAGACATTATAAGAACAATTTCTTGTCTTCCATTAACTGGTCCTAAGTATTATACTAGAGGGATAATTCTCCATTAGACAAAATGGTGGTGTGATGGCTAGCATTCCTGTCTCATAGCTCTCAGATTCTATGTTAATAATTGTTCATATAGGACAGCATGGTGGTGCCTGCAGCAGGTTAGCAGTGTGTAGGTCCTGGGTTCAATTCTGGACCTGGGGTGCTATCTGTGTGGAGTTTGTATGTTCTCTGTGTTTCTGTGGGTTTCCTGAGAGTACTCTGGTTTCCTCCCACAATCTAAAGACATATGGGCAGATTAATAGGCCCCTGGCGTGAGGGTGTGCATGTGTGAGTCTGTGTGCCTGCCCTGATGTTGACTGGTGTCACATCCAGCACATATCCAACCTTGTGCCTGTTGGTTGCTGGGATAGGCTCTGGCTCCCCTGCGACACTGAATTGGATAAAGTGGTTAGTAACTCAACTGTTTTAATTGGCTTTGAATGGCTTAACCGTAAGTGGTACTTTAGTGTGATGGGTTGGAGTCAGATCAATTAGTGTTTCTCCAGAATGGTTTTGCAATGTGGACATGTTTTGAGTGTTTGAAATTATTATTTTTTGCCTTTTTTATCACTAAAGGATGAAGTGTTTCTGTGGATGTTTTCCTTAGAACTGTATTATTATTGTTGTTATTCAGCCACAACAGATGTGATCTAAAAAGATGTCTTTTTGAGAGGTTAAGCTTGGGCGTGAGTATAACATACAATGGAAAATGTTTGAGACATTGCTTTATGGGTCATGACTGGTGTTGCTGCAACACAGCTCTTGATTCTAGCCCTTCTGTGTGGAGTTTGCATGATCTCCCCACGTCCACTAGCGTTTCTCTTTATATGTGCGTGTTCGAATTTTCTCCCTCCCTTCAAAAGACATGCTGGCCAGCTTTACACTCCACAATTCATAAGCACTTTAAATGCTCAGTAAGGAAGCAATGAACATTTTTCATCGACCCAGTGAGCATCTCTTGGCACCCAGGAAGCCTCTTCAGTCCCCAGACCAGTCACACAAATACAGTACCTGCTTCCAACCTGCAGACTTTCAATAAAATGGGTCATAAGGGTATTTTACTGCCCCCTGGTGGGATAGTTTGTTTATGAAATTTAAAGTAATTTAATTCTAGATTCTGATCCATCTGACCTGATTTATAGTAGGTCTTAACAACAAGCACAACAGGAGTTTGAATTCTAGGCATCTCTGGTAGCATTAGTTTAGTGCACCCTTCCATTATTCTTCTTAAAACCTTAAATATTTCATAGAATCATCGGAAAGCTTCTCATTGCTGGTGAGGATAACAGCAGATCAGAGCCTGTGCTAGAGGCACAGCCTTACCTTAGAAGGACTACAGCCTGCACCTGAGACTAGCCCATCAGACACACCTTTATATTTCAGAAAATCCAGTTACCCTGGGCATCATCTGATGACTTTCTCAAATAAATCCAAGTGGATCTCATCATTTTGCTAATAGTTCTATTTCCTGAACATATTCAAAAGCATGCACTCTCTTCCTTGTTTTCTTCTCCGTTTTTAAGAGATTTGTTGCTGTCAGTGTTTAATGTCCAAGCAGCCTTTGCAACTGAGAGAGGGGTGGGGTTCATTTGTCTTTATTAGTGCACTGGCTGATTGAGCTACTGTAAATCAGAAGCTGTCCAGCTGGCTTTTGATTAAAGTGTTTATCTTGACAAAAGTCAAAAGTGAAACAGAATGCAGACATCAAGAAAACAACAGTTTCTTCTTTTGATTCAGGTCAAAGTGTGACCCAGCTTAAAATAAAATCTTTCACTTTGCACTTGTTTCACTTTCCATCTGAATTTAAAAATAATACAATTATACAGAAGCAGTGTCACTCCTAGAACATTAAATGCAATTAATGTCCATTTGAACTAATTCTTTCTACGCTTTGTTCTGGAATAATAGGATAATGCAACTGGCAGAGGTTTTAATGTTCCTAAAATGGCTACAGGTGAAGGTGTCTGTTTCCATGAATCTTTTAATTATGGTCAATTAAAATAAGCTGCACTTGTATTTGTTGTCCTCCCAAAAATATTGTGCCATGAACACAGTTTCTTTCATCAGATGTTAGCCTTTAGCGCATTTTGTTTTTGTTTTATTTATTTCTTTGTGCAGAAAAGTATGTTGTGGTGGAACACATTGCAAATGCTGAGAAACCTCTGTCAAACTGTACTGAAACTGACACTTAACAAGGAAACTCCAGGTGCAGTCTGATCCGTGTCAGCTTTTAACTGATGCAGGCTGTTCCAAAAACAGACCCAGGTGCAGGGAATTTCAGGCTTGTACCTTCTGGAGACAAAATAATTGCTCTTCTCTTTTTGGTTTTTGCATTAAGGAGAAGTGTCAGCAGTTAATAAAATGTGAAATGGACTAACGTGATTAGCCACAAATGTTTAGACAACTGAAATAAATAAAATTGTAATAAATGCATAGTGAGTTATCTGTTTCCCTGATAAGCCACCATGTGGCTATTTATTTTTTAAAAGAACTATGCAGCTGAGCCATGTTAATTGGTCTTTACAGCTTTAAGGCCACAGTTTCACCTTACTGGCACTTTTACTCTGGGAACAATAGTCAGACTCTGCTACAGCTCACAGTTTCCAGGGAAATAATGCCTTATAAGGTTGAGTGGTTATGGGCAGTGATGTAATAAAGTGCATGCTGTGAGTTTCCCATTCCAGCTGTCTGCATGTCTGGACTGCGTTTCACTCTAGGGTAGAGTGCAAAGGAGAAAACGGAAAGAAAGTGACTGTTGGTGTGAGGGATAACATCAGATCTGGACGGAGCAAACCGAATCTCAGCACACAGACTGAAGCAACTAAATATTGCAGCATCATGGGCCAGTCAGGCAAGTTTACCTTTGATATTATTGGCTCTGTTGGCATGTAAACCTGTTTTTGTAGCCTAACACTTTAGTACATATGGTTGCCTAATGCCTAATTTGCATATCTAATGTTTAAATCTAATACTCATTGTGGATATGTCTGGCATAGATGTAGGACGCTGACAGACTAGCATCCAGCTACTAAAACTGCTATTTCATATCTTATTTTAGACCTGGATCTTAGTTTCTGTCTCTTTGCATACAGACTATAGGGCCTGTTCACAGAGCTGTGACTGTGCATCTTTTAAAGCCCAGTTGACTAGTGTTGCTGAAATTCTAAAGAATATAACTGGAGCAGCCAGCTTGAGAATCCAAATGGTTTAAGGGAATTTGGACACATTCTCAAGTCTTGGGTTTATGGAAATGGGATAATCCTTTCCTGGCTTTGTATAGACAGCTGTTCCAGCCCTTACTTTACCCTTGAGTCTTGGGTGTGTTGTATGAAAGCTTTTAGTGTAAGATATTTTGTGGCGAGTTGTGCAATCTCTGTAATGTGGGTTTTTTACTAGCCTTCTCAGTTGTATTTCCAAGGTCACATTCTTAAATGTGGATTTAAAGTGAGGCTGGAATTGGTCATAGAACCCGGTTCATCTCTAATATACTCCTTAATGATTGTTTTGTGCCGATCACTTCAAGTGAAGCTGCCAATTTCATGCTCCAGAATGCGTGGAAAGCAAGCAAGCAAGCAAGCAAGCAAGCATCAGTCTCCTAAATCATCCATTTTCTGTGTATATTCATGTTAACTGTTATTGACGCAGTGTCAAGTTCTTGCTAAAAGCAGCTGTGCACTAAAAGCAGTACTTTGTTTGATATGAAACCTTTAATAACTGTTTTCCAGTTACTGTATCTGTTTGCAATGACTTAGATAATTTCCTTTAATAAAGTGAAAAAGTAGTAAAGGATTTTCATGACCAACGGTAACTCCAAAGGTTTGTTCTTCTCAACAAACGTCTGATTTATTCAATGCCGTCTATACCTTGTGTTCACTTGGTTTATCCTGTGATGTTTTACTGTACTGGTCCATGGGTTCCACTCTGCCCCCTGTTTCCCTCTCTCTGCCTGCTCTCATCACAGCCCTTTGGGAATTACAGATGCCAATCCAGGCATACAGGCTGCCTGAACTCCCTTCTTAGTTTTAAATGAGTCCAAAGGGAGTAAAAAAAATCATTTACATCCCTCATCTAGAAAGTCTGAAACCATGAAAACCGCTTTGCTATTTGGAGTAGTGTAGAGGTGGAGTGTCAGCAGCTTATACTTTATAGTGATGGCACAGATGCCTGCTCCATCCACTCAAATGAACAGGCGAACACTTCTAATGGAGAGTAATAGGTACATCTTGATGACTGTATGTGGTGCACTTGTCCCTGCCCCCTTTTTATTCCTAGAACAGAATAGCTCTCCTAGTATACCTCTTTCTGTCCAGTGCTCACCCTCCATCTTAAACTCTCAAAGCCTACTCTTTTCTCTATGTCTTCAGCCTCATTGTCTGTGGACCTCTCTGATTGTCTTGACCCACTACCCTCTCTCCCTCCTCCTCTGTCAAGATCTCCAGGAGCCTGGCTCCTGTCCTTGTCTCTCCTGTTCCCAATACTGTCCCAAGCCTGTTCTTGAGCAACGTTTCCAGAATACAACCCTTCCCTACCAACCACATCATTCAACTGCTAGTCCATGCCCTGGAAACCGTTCTGCTAGGTCTACAATTCCCTATGTCTGTCCACTCCCGCTCCTTCAGAATTTCTACTGCTCACCTTGATTTTTCCCCACTGCTGATGCTAATGCTTTACTCCTGTTTTTACACTGGCTCGCTCTTGTCAGAGGTCCACTCAAAACCCTCATTGTCTTCTACTGCTGTCTCAACCACTCTGCTCCGGCTTGTGGATGGTCCTGCACCTCTCTTTCTCCACTCATCCTCTTTCTCCGCTACTCCCTCTCCTCTTCCAGAGCCTAGTCAACCTCCTCCCTTGCCCTTCAGTGGTGGAATAAGCTTCCCTGGAAATCCAAACTCTGACTACCTCTGGGTTCTTCTCAAGACTCTCAGCTCTCATACTGGCATAGCGATTTCTCCTTGACATTAGTCACTGTAAACATACTTACAATTACCATTAGAATAGAATACTTACCATTAGACCACTTCCATTGCTGCTGGATATCCACACTAGCTGTATATTGTTTTAAACCTTGGTGTATTGCACTTCCAGCTTGTATGATCTTAATGTTTGTCTTATTAACTCACCATAAGTACAGTATATGCTATGGAACAAGTAATAGGTTTATTCCATGCTGAAAAGAAAAGAGAGAAAACACCGTTTTGGCTGTGAAGCCTTCTTCAGGTGTGAGAAAGACAGGGCAGACAGCAAAGATTAAATAGCACAGAAGAACAAAAGCTGGGAGAGGGGAAGGGCAGAGAGGCCACTCAGGAAGTGCAAAGTACAGGAGGGTGAAGAAAGGTGTGAAGTTGAAAGCTGCATGAGAATAGAGAAGATCACACGAAAACAAGTTGGTCATTGAGAGAAGGGGGATGGTGTGGATCTAGTTTCAGGATCAGTTTCGTTTCTGTTATTTTTCTGCTATGGGAGTTGAGAAACCCTTCATTGAGAACAGAGCGAGATCAGTGTGATCATGGCTGTCTGATATGAAATGAGAAACAATGGGCTTGGAGAAGTCTTTAATCTTCACACCCCTAACATGTTCAATGAAACGGTCTCCTAGTGTCCTTCCGGTTTCCCCAATATAGATGGCTGGGCATTTTTTGGCGGAGATACAGTAAATTAGGTTGCTGGAGGTACAGGATGTCGTCTGGGTGATCTGGAATTGACCTGAGGGGCCCTGAATGAGC